AACCACCGAAGTGCCAACACCGTCGCCGGCTTCTACTCCAACTCCGACCTGTACAGGAGATCACTTGGACACAGGGCAAGCGAATCAACGTGGCACGAAAGATTGGGACACCCCAGCAACACAACACTTAACAACACGATAAGAGCGGGAGTTCTTAACAAAGACTCACGACTACTACCCGACGGACGAGAACTGCAACGAGTCCGAGGAACATGTTTTACCTGCCCTGAAGTGGACTTACCCCACCAGCCGTTCGCGTCTCACCACAACCCCAGTGCGCCAGCATACGCACCACTGGAAAAAGTCTACAGCGACATCTTATACGCCCGCAAAAGCGGACAGGGAGCCAAAAACTACGTCATCACCTTCATCGACGCCGCCACCAGATACGTCTGGCACGCAAACCTTCCAAGCCGCGACATGGCTTTCGAAGCCTTCGTTGCATGGCTCCCGACAGCGGAAAGGGAATCTGGAGAAAAGCTGAAAAGCTTTCAGTCAGACGGGGGAGGAGAATATCAGTCACAACACTTCAAGCAGTACCTGGCGGAAAGAGGAATCAAGAGGCTCATCTCCCTCCCCTATGCTCCACAACAGCAAGGCGTAGCAGAAAGAATGAACAGGACCCTCTAGACCACCATGCGCAAGCTACTACTTGGCATGCGACTGCCCGACCACCAGTGGCCTGCAGCAATGGACCACGCTGTCATGCTGCATAACTTGCTTTCATCGACGTCACTTCCGAACAACGCATCACCGCATCTGCTGTGGACAGGAAAATTGGGCAGCACAAAAATGTTACGAGTGTTCGGCTGCATGGTACAGTACTGACCACACACAGCACGAGCAGGAAGATTTTCACAACGCGCACAGTGGGGACTACACCTGGGCATCGAAAAACATTACAACGCGTGGAAGATTTTTGGCGTCCACTCAAAAGAAACAGTAGCAGCACGTGATGTCATCTTCTACGAACAACTCGGTCTCCCGACGTACCTGTACAACTTGGAAACCAACCGAGACCCCACAGGTGGCTTCCGTGGCGATAGGGCCTTCGCCTCGTCAGCAGAAGAAGCTGACTGTGATGAACAAAATGTGGACGAAGCATCGGAGGAGGCCGGACCTCTGCCCTACTGTTCCGTACCCGTCCCGATGGATAACGACAACCCCCGCGAAAGCATCAACGCCGAAGTCTACTACGACTTCGCCGACAATGGTTACATTACACCCCAGCCAGCCAACACCAACGTCTCCGAATGAATAGGCCCCAATTTCTTACCTGATCTAGAAGCGGGAGACGAAGTAGTCTATCCCGAGGACCCAAATCTCCCCCGACTCTCACAGAGTGGACTGCAGATACTCGGCCTCGTCACCGCCGTCCACGGAGCATCACCGCCACCTAAGGAGCCTGCCACAGTTCAGCAGGCTCTGGGGGGGGAGCACAGAGAGAAATGGCGAGAAGCCATGGACAAGGAGTTAAAGGCACTAGAAGAGAAAAATACCTGGAAAGTAGTGCCTATCGGAGTGGCACGCAACAAGACTGTGCTCACCGGGAAGTGGGTCTTCCGCGTGAAGACCAAAGCAGACGGAACCATAGACAAGTTCAAGGCACGATGGGTCGTGCGAGGCTTTGATCAACAGCACGGACGAGATTTTACCGAGGCATTCGCACCTGTAAGCAGGCACACGTCGCTGCGGATCCTGCTCGCCGTAGCCGCCATGAAACGGAAGAAGCTTCGACAGATTGACGTGGCGAACGCTTTTCTCTACGCACCTGTTGATGCCGAGCTACCTCACGGGTAGAACAGCAATCCCAACCAAGTCTGTCAGCTGTTGAAATCGTTGTACGGCATCAAACAGGCTCCGCGACTGTGGCAACAGTACCTGCACGCACCCTTAATTGGCATCGGGTTCCACCAACTTCCCCACGACCAGGGAATGTACCGACTCACAAAATCCACTGACTACATCCTGCTTATCGTCTACGTAGACGACTTGCTCTACATAGGCTCCACCGACGGCATTACGTGTTGGTTTGAAGGGGAACTGCAGCCGGACCTACAAATGACGATTTCACCAAGTGTTACCCAATACTTGGGTCTAAACATACAGGACGGAGAAGACGCCATATATCTCAGTGCCGCTAAATACACTGACACCATCGCCAAGCGCTTCGGCCTAACGCCGACCATCATTTCAACGCCCTACCGCCACACGACGGCAAATCCAGGAGAATCTAAACCACTAGCAGCAGCCGGAATACGAGACTACCAATGAAAACTCGGATGCCTTCTCTTCGCAGCAGTAACCCGCCGCCCGGACCTGTCCTACTCAGCCAGTCAGCTCGCCACCTATCTCAAGCGACCCGAAGCGGGACACATGGCGGAGCTGGACCAGGCTCTACTCTACCTCGTCAGCACTCCAACGATCGGCCTGACCTACCACAAGAACGCAACTACGACTCCGAAGCTGATCGGCTATGTAGATGCCGATCACGCCGGTGACTCTGAGAACCGCCGATCCCGCACCGGCTACATCTACCGACTCGAGCCGATCGGTCCTATCTCGTGGCAGTCGAGCAAGCAAGAGCTAATTGCTCTCTCATCTACTGAATCTGAATATATCGCCCTCAACTTAGCTACGAAAGAAGGGTTGTACCTTCGCGAATTGCTGGAAGAAGCAAAGCTGGCCCAGTTACCCAGCTTCTCCCTCTTCTGCGACAACCAATCGGCAATCCGTATTGCAAACAAAAACGGATTCGCACACCGAACGAAGCATATCGCCCTGCGATACTTCTTCGTGAAAGACGAGATCGAGAAGGGGAGACTCGAACTGTCCTACTGCCCCACATCCGAGATGGCAGGAGATTATTTGACCAAGAAGCTCGGAAAACAGAAGTTCGAATACTGCATGTTGCTGACTGGGCAAGGCCACGTCATCACCAACAACAATGTTGAGACTCCAGAAGTGAAGGGGAGTGTTGGAAACATGTAGTTTGCGCTTCTGAAGTGTTGGAACACCGAGCTGCAAGCGAAGCGAACTACAGCGAAGCAACAGCGAGTCAACCGAGGAGGTTGACGAAATGTAACAGCAAGAGGTTAAGCGAAGGTCAAAGGTCAGCGACCTTTGACTCGACAAATACAGCGCGACAGCAAGGACACACAACTGACTCGATATTGAGCAGTTGCCCGAGTCGTGACTGTATCGAACCGCAACCCCAGTTACAGTTACAACAAGTAGTTAGTTGAAGCCTTTCATATTCCTTTTGTAATCATATAAATGCTTGTACTTCTTTGTTTTAATCAACACATCTTGTTCTCATTAACTAGTTCAAGGTGGTTCAAGATCTTTATCATTAAACGCTTCCACTACAACACCCTATTACCTTGAGCTTAGGCCCACGAAGATCCTAAGGGCTTTTCTCAGCCCAACAGCAAGCAGCGTGATTTTAGTGGGGTCGCAGATAGAGACAGGACGATATATATCCCTATATGACGAGTCTTGGGTCTTTGTGAAGATAAACGAAACAAGTATAGAAGAGCATTCACGAAATCGCAAGCTATTATGCACCCCACGCATCGATCCATCAGGATCCATGTGTGAAATTTGTCACGCATATATTTACAAGTTATTCAGCGCATCCTCGTTCACAGCTCGTACGAGTTCTCCCTGGGTTGCTATGTCGGAGATACTCTCTTTGGCACTTCCATCGCTAAGGACGCGTCACAAGTAAAATATCGAGGAAGGATCAGGGTTGTTCACCGAACCTGTCAAACCGATCGCCATATCGGTGTGTCACGACTGCTTTGAAGTTTCAAGTGACACGATCGTAAAAACATGGGGCAAAATTGCCCGATGTGGACGAAATTGCACGATCGATGTGTGACAGGGGCACATCGATCGCCTGACTTAGAAGGGAAAACTGTACGTTAGCGAAAATAAACGAAAATGTGTAACCACCTAAACACCGATTCTAGGCAGGATCGATGTTCTACTTGTGACGCGTCCTGAAGTCGAGGGTGGGGAAGAAGCTTTTGTCGTGGTTGGGTTGGGTTGTGGGTGATTCGAGAGAATTGATAAACCACCACCACCTCACGAGTCACGACACCAGGTCCCTAGATGACGTCCCTACAGTGTCCTGATCGGATTTGCACCGGATTTTGCTGGCACTGAATGTGCAGTTCTCTGCCTATGGAATATTTTTCCTGCGAATAGGGTGGAGCTGCGGAACAGAGTGTGGAATTCAATAATGTCGGGAAGGTTTTCATAACCTGCAGATTACCTAATAATACTTTTCACTCTCAGACGTGTAAACCTCAGCAGCCTGACCGTGAAAGAAGAATAATGCGTCTGTTCCTCAACGCAGTTGCTTGGCCATTGTCTACCTGCCCATGTTCCCCAGTGGGATTACAAGCCTAGCGCAACTATTGAGCGAGGCACCATCATCGCAGCCTGACAGACAGCCAACCAGCACAGCCAGTCTCCACCTCTCATCTCACCCTACCCGACCCCGCCTCCAGCTCACTGCTCTCTCATCTCTGCTTTTCCACCACCTCTGGTGGTTTCAATCAAACCCAGCCACGCTGGCATGGCGGATCTCATCATTTCCAGTCGTGTTGAAACCTAAGGCTTTAGCTGGAGCGGAAGTGGAATTTTCATGGCGGATTGCGACAGTTGGCGAATAACAAAGAGTTTGCGAGTGCTTGCGAAGCAGTCGGAGACGCAAGCCGTAGAGTTTTCCGCCAGAAGCTGTTGAGGGTTGTTCATGGGCTGGCAGAGGAACGGGAAGTTAAGGCCTTGGGAAGGAACGGCGGGCTCCAGTGGAATGTTGAGTTGTGCTGTGCTAGCTGCTGGCTGCCCTTGAGTTGTTCTTCGCCGCTGCGATTGCTTTTATCCTAACCGTCCCGGCTGGTTATCTCAAGCGAGCCGTGGCATGTGCGACGCGTTTCTAGGGTTATTATTTTAAAAGGTGTTGAACACAATTAGGTTTTCTGCCGGCGCGTATGTTGGCGGCAATGACAGGGTCGCCGCCAGCGTCTGTGCCGACGTGGATCGTGGAGGTGACGCGGCACCGCGACTTGAGTCAGGAGGCGCTGGAGCTGGCGTTGGAGCACAAGGCGGGGCGCGCCGTGACGTTCCTCCTCGTGCACGTCATGTCTGAAGTGCCCACCTCGCGTGCGTATTGCCGCTGCCTGCTGCCTCTCAAAGCACTCCTCGGCCATGCTTAGTTCTCCCAATTCCCGGTGCTCTCGCGCATCGCGTGTGGGCAGCGCGTCGTGCCTGCAATGGCCGTGCTGCCTCTGCTTGCGTCTTTTTTCCCTGTGGTTTTGCAATCTTATTCACATTCGCAACGGTATTCTGAGTGTGGCACGTGAGCGGTGCGTACGGCGCAGGCAACATGACGCTACCGGCGAGCGAGGTGGATCCGAAGACGGCGCTGCAGCACGCAAAGAAGCTCGTCGATATTCTCATGAAGCCGCTGCTCTCCATCGCCGCCGCCAGCCGGGTGAGACCCCGCTCACGCCCTCAACTCCACCGCTTCATGCATCGCGCCATTCGCCACCGGTCTCAACCGACGCCTGTGTTCGCCATGTTCATTCACCTGCTGTCCCGCAACCTCTGTTTCGTCCTTTTCCTCTGCCGCTCGTTCTAAGACTGTGCCTCCCTCCCGCTCGCCTCTTTACCCTCTCTCCCGGCTCTTTCTCTTCCGCGCCTTCCCTTCCTCGTTGCCGCCGCCTTTTCTTGCCTGCGCGCGCCGGCCGCCGTGCATGGCAGGTGGCGTGCGGCACGGCGGTGGAGCTCAACGACCGCCGCGAGATGGGGCTCTGCCTCGCTGCGCGCCGAGCCAACGCGGAGCGCGTCTACGTGGGCGTCAAGAGGTGCGGCGTGGGCGGTCTTGAGGGCGTTGCGGGGCTGGCGGGGTTTAGTGGGCTCATCTGATGGATTCGTTGCGCTCTCTTGGATCGCCCGCGGGGAGCGCGCTCCACCACCAGCTGCCGCGCCTCTCCCGCCTCCCCCGCTCCTCGTCCCTCCGCCCATTCTCTTCCCTTTCCGTCATTTCTCCCTTTTCCCCTTCGACATTCTCCCCTTGCGCGCTATGCTCCCGCGTCGCAGGAAGCTGTTGGGGTGGTCGTCGTCGGGCGTGGTGGCGGCGTGTCAGACGTCGCTGCCGCGCACATGCACGCTCGTCGTGTCGCAGGGCGGCCGCGGCCACAAGCACCAGCAGCTCATCGGCGCGCAGCGCACCGACCTCTCCGCGCTGCCCTCCGTCTTCCTGCAGTTCCACTCCGCGCCCTCCTCCAACGACGCTCTCACCGCCCGCCTCGCGCCCCCCGCTCTCCCTTCCGCCACCCCCTCCTCGCTTAAACCCCCTGCATGCGCGTCCCCCCTGCACGTGCGCCGCCCTTCTGATCCCCCCCCGCTGGAGGCGTCCGCGTCCCCTCTGGGCAGCAGCGGCGCGCCGTCGTCCGAGTTCTCCCTCTCCTCCTCCTCCTCCGGCCCGCACTCCCGCTCGCTCCCCATCGCCGCGCCCGCGCCCGCCCCGCCTGCAGCAGCAGCTGGCGGAGAGGTGGCGGAGAGGGATCCATGGGGGCAAGTGATGGACCGGGGAAAAGGGGCGGAGCAGAGGCGCGCGGGAGCGGGAGGGGAAAGGGGGAAGCAATCGCGCTTGTCGTTTTCGACGCTGGAGGAGCTGCAGCAGATGGCGGTGCGCGACTCCGAGGTGCGGCGAGTGTGGCCGGGGGGGGGGGGGGAGGAGGGGGGGGGGCGTGTTGCGAGTGCAACGGCACCTGTGCCGTTGAGGTGTTGCGAGTGCAACGGCACCTGTGCTGGCCCGCTGGGGCGTTGTCTCTCGTTCCTTGCTGCGCGCGCCACCCCGCTTTCGCCGCCATCACTCACCCTTCTCCCCATCCTTCCCTTTCCCCTCTTCCCCCCCCTCCCCACCCCTTCCCTCCCCTCTACCCCCCCACCCACCCGCAGGCCAGCGGCGCGCAGCCCATGTCCTCCGCGGCACGCCATCGTTCCCCCGGCGCTGCTGCGGCCGGAATGCCCGCCAGGGACGGCGGGTGGGGGGAAGCGGCGCTGAGGGGGGCGGGGCGCGGGGCGGGCACGGCGCTGAGCCTCAGCGCGTCGTGCTCGCCCTCCGCCCCGCCAGGGGGGATGGCGATGGGGGGAGCGGGCGAGGAGGGGCGGTGGGGGGCCGGGCATGCAGTGCGGAAACGCAGTGCGGAGCGAGTGGCGTTGCCAGAGGGGATTCCGGAGGAGGGGGAGGGGGGCGGGGCGGTGGGGAGAGGGGATTGGGACGGGGGAGGGGAGGAGGAAGAGGAATGGGAAGGGGGAGGGGGAGGAGGAGGGGGAGGGGGGCGGTCGCTGCTGGCGGATGAGCTGGCGATGCTGGAGGCGGAGGATGAGAATGAGGGGGGTGAGGGGGGAGGAGAGGGGGAGGGGGAGGGGAAGGAGGCGGCGTGGGTGGGCAAGGGCGTGAGCAGCAACCGCGAGGTGGATGGCAGTGGTGCGGGCGACAGCAGTGCAGCGCCAGGCGACAGCAGAGAGGTGAGTGAGGGAGGGGAGAGGGGGGCGTGCACAGCATATGGGCAGGCGGGCGGGCGGGCTGGCGGTCAGGCGGGCAGGGGGACAGGGGCAGGTGTGAGCGTGGTGGAGAAGAACAGATGCGCGGGCGAGCAGGTGGCGGAGGGGTGGATGGCGGGTGGGTGCACTGCAGCCTCCTGCCTCCATCACTCCACCCTCCCTCCCTCATATCAACCTCCACCCGTCTCTTCCTCCCCAACCCTCTCATTTTCTCTTTCGCCTTCTCTCACTGCTCCCGTCTCCCTCCCTCCCCCCCATCCTGCGTGACATTTGTCCCCCCGTCGGCCCCCACCAGCCGCCGCCAGCGCTGTCACCGGCGCCGTGCAGCCCGCTGGCGGGCAGCAGCAGCTTCAGGGGCAGCGCGCTCAGCCCGGGGGGCAGCAGTGCGGGCGGCAGCAGGCAGGGCAGCCGCCAGGGGAGCATGCAGGGCAGCATAGAGGGCGTGGCGGGTGGTGGCGTGGGGGTCATGAGTGGCGGTGGGAGCGTGGGGGCAGGCGACAGCAGCAGCACGGGGGGGCTGCTCTCCAGGCCCGCGCCCACCTCGTCGTCCTCCTCCTCCTCACGCGCGTCGCGCTTCCACCACCTGTCGGCGCCGTCCAACACGTCCCTCGCCGCCTACTCGCAGGGCCCCATGGCCTCGCAGCTCGCCGCCTCCTCCTTCGGCCGCTCTGCCTTCTCGTCGGGCCAGCTCACGCCTGGCAGCACGGCGGCGGTGGGCGACGGCTTTGACTGCCGCCAGTTCACGGCGGCGCAGCTGGCGCGCGCCACCAACAACTACGCCCAGGAGAACCTGTTGGGCAAGGGGTCGTTCGGGGCAGTGTTCCGCGGGGAGATGCTGGGCTGCCAGGTGGCCGTGAAGCGCCTGGAGGGGCAGGGGTGGCAGGGGCCCGACGAGTTCCGCGTGGAGGTGGAGGTGCTGAGCCGCATGCGCCACCCGCACATCGTGCTGCTCATGGGCTGCTGCGTCGAAGACATGGCGCTCGTCTACGAGTTCCTCCCGGGCGGCACGCTACAGGACAAGCTAGGCCCGCCCAAGACGGCAGACGCGGTGCGGCTGAGCTGGTCGGACCGGCTGCGCATCTGTGGGGAGATGGCGACTGCCCTGATGTACCTCCACCGCAACGACCCGCCCATCGTGCACCGCGACTTAAAGCCCGACAATATCCTGCTGGACGGCAACCTGGCGAGCAAGATCGGCGACGTGGGGCTGGCGCGGCTGCTGGAGGCGGACGGGTCGACCACCATGAAGGTGCGCGGCACACTGGGGTACATCGACCCCGAGGAGGTGGAGACGTGTGAGATCAGCGTGCTGAGCGACGTGTACGCGCTGGGGCTCATCATGCTGCAGCTGCTCACGGGACAGCGCGCCGTGAAGGCGGTGCACCGCATGCTGGCGGAGTGCGCCAAGCACGCCAAGACGCCCCACGGCAGCCAGCCGGGCCCGGGGGGGGCAACGGTGGGGGCGGTGGGCGTGGTGAGCAAGTACCTGGAGAGCACAGGCGGCGAGTGGCGCATGGACCTGGCTGAGGAGGCCGCGGGGCTGGCCCTGCGCTGTGCGGACCGGAGGCGCGAGAAGCGGCCGAGCCTCAAGAAGGAGGTGCAGCCGGCACTGGTGAGGATCGCTGCAGCGGCGGAGGAGGAGGTGAAGGCGAGGAAGAAGCACAGCGACTCGCAGTTCATCTGCCCCCTCTCCAAGGTATGCCCATGGCTCTGGGCTCTCCTGCACCCACCCTTTATTGTACACACCACACACTCGCACACGTGTCACTCTCACATGTGTCACTCTCACATGTGTCACTCGCACATGTGTCACTCGCACATGTGTCACTCTCACATGTGTCACTCTCACATGCACTCGTGTGGAGCCGTCATCACCCTGTCCCGCCTGTATCTTGTGCATGCATATGCCTCTCCACCATGTGTGCACTCTCAATCCCCGCCCTGCGTTGTCCTGTCCTGTCCCATGGCTGTGGTGGTGATGGCAGGAGGTGATGAGGGACCCAGTGGTGGCGGGGGACGGGTTCACGTACGAGCGCGAGCATATCACTCGCTGGATGGCCTCCTGCACGCTCTCCCCCTCCACCGGCCAGCCCCTCCCCCACACCTGCCTCACCCCCAACAACGTCCTAAAAAACCTCATCGCCTCCCACAACCTGCGCTGACCCCTCTCCACCACACCCTCGCCCCTGACTCCCTCTACCCACATACGCTGCCCGCCCTTTTCTTTCTGCCCACCCGCCCACTGCTTCCTGTCACCCCACTGTCCCTCCTGCTCCTTTCCATTCCATGATCCACTCCCCTGCTCTCTCCGCTTCCCTCAGCCTATCCCCCCTCTTTCGCTCGCAACTGGCATTATTCCGCACCTCCATCTTGTTCCCCCACAACCCCCACCCTCACACCTGGCATCTCTCCCCCTCGGCCGCACTCCACGCTCTGCCTCCCTGCACTGCCTGTCTCAGTGCCCCACCATTTCCCAGCTGCAGTGCCCTCTATCATTGCAGCTGGCGGGCGTTGCCCTGTCCACGTCCCGGCCGTGCTGTGCTGCACTCCTGTGCTCCCGTACAACATATCTCTGAGCTGCATATGCCATACATTTTGACATCCACACGCCTGCACTGCTGCATACATCCTTGCATGGTTCTTGTGTGTGCAACGCTTGCCAGTTCAGTGCATTGGGGAGCATCTTCAGTACGCTATCCACCCATTAGGATGAGGTAGAATGCATGCAGCCATTTGTCAGCCAACTTGTCTAGGTTGCAACCAAGAGAGGATATCAATGTGTGCATCGTGAGCCATTTTACTCTAATGAAACACTGATTTGTGCACGCACTTTTAGTACCGGTATGTGCAAGTGTACATATTGAAAATCCTTGCATACCACATAGTTGATGACAAGCAAAATGGTGTACGGTACATTGCAAACGAAACGACGTCCCCTAGAAGGTTCAAGTGAACGGGCTACACAGCGAATTTCCCACATCCAGCGTGCACTCATATCATAGCTTTCCCTCGAGATTTGCTTAGCCCCTCGAGATTCCTTCTTCATCACAGCGTGCGTCGCCTTCTTTACGACTAACTGCCCGAGTTCTCCATTTTCTTGCAGACTTATCCACAGGGCAAGCCTTTTGTCACACGCTGTCCCGTTTCATTTATGGCGTCGCGCGATTTATACAAGACTAAACTCTGCGTGCTCCATGAAAGGGGAAAGTGCGACAGACCTAACTGCACATTCGCGCATGGAGAAGAGGAACTTCGTAAAGCTCCCCCTGGAGCAACTGGTGAGTGTCTTCTGGTGCCGTTTATCCGTGCGAGACATCTGTTAATTTGCTTTCCACGAAGCCGGTTCATCGGGCCTGAGAGCTGTCTCTGTTTGTCCTTGTGTAAGCGATCATCCACGCTTCATTTAATGTTGGCTTCTTCCGAAGTTCAGTTATTGGCAACTTACGTGACACCATGTAAACGGCACCGGAGGATTCTGTCGTCCCAAACCCTAGTTGACGAAGATGCATGTTATTGTGAAGTGTTGAGCAAGGTCATTTGATTACCTTTCCACCTCCATCCATTTTCAGCCAGAACCATCCTGACGCCGGTGCTAAAGTGAGTTGCCTTGCGTTTTTGTCAGTTGCTCACGAAGAACAGGCGAGTTCTTCATCATGTGGTTTTACTCTATTTTCCTGTTTCTTTCATTTCCATAAGGCGTTTCAGGAAAGTACTCGGGGTACAGAGGAGGGGATCTTCGCGATCGCATGCGTTACCGTTCTCCGCCTGAAGATGGCAGACGCCGTGGACGGAGGCCTTCTCCTCCTAGGAAGCGAGGTGAGTGCGTTACGTGTCCGTGACAAGTAGGTCATGGTGGATGTCTCTATCTTTCTTGTTGTGCTAATCTCCTTGACTTCCTGTCTTTCCAGGCCGCAGCATTTCTCCGTCGCCTTCAAGAGACGACTATTCTGATCGTTCATATGACTCACGCTCAAGGTCGCCTTCTGAGACCAGGTGCTGCTAATTGCATGGACATGTCAGGTCTTGATTATGCTTACAATTCTCTTCTGCATCTGTGACTCCTCTTCACTAAGTTGTTTTTGTTCCCTGTTGACACTCTCCATCTCAGTGACAGGCATCATGGTGAGAGGAAACGAGAACGCGGAGTAGACTATCGAGCTGCTGGACCTGGTTCTGGTGGCAGGGCTGTATCTGCTGAAAGAATGGAACTTGAGCGTGAGGTACATAGGAAAAGGCATTTTCCTTCAACAGTTTTACCTCGTGGTGCACTTGGACTAAATGATTACAACTTGCAATCTTGCAGAGGAAGATGCTTCTCAAGGACGTGACCATACAGAGGGAGCACTGCGACACCCTCCAGGTTTGGATTAGACATTTGATGGTTTTTAGTAATATATTGAAGATAGCATGTTAATTTGAGTCCGTTTCTCGTTTATGGGCAGACCCTCCTTGGACGCAAGACGGAACTGGCAAAGGATTTGTTGGAGCATGCGAAGCTGCTGGAGAGGGATGTCCAAGAGAAGGAAGGCCTTATTGCCAAGTAATTGCTGTGAATCAAGTTCTGTACGACCAAATTAACGCCAACCAGTATGTGGCCTGGTGTAGCCATCGTTTGTTCACTTGCATTCGTTGGATTGATGCAGGATTTCTGTCAACTTGAAGACGCTTGTCGAAGCACAGCAGTGTGTCATGGCAGCAGAGGACGATGTGAAAAGGTAGAGCAGTATGAGTATTTGCACATAGGGGATTTCGTCATTCCAATTCTGAGCATTGCTGAAATTGTGGCTCTTGCAGGTCCAAGATTCAGCTCAACATGTTCTTGGAAGAGTTGACTCCAAATGACTTGACACCTGCTGTTTCGGCTTTAGCGAATCTTTCGGAGCTTCCCATGGCTCTGGATGCTGCAGCTGTTGCACCTGCAACTGGCACTGCCTTTCCGCCTGTCAATCATGATGCATCTGGTGACATGAGCTTCGTGCCAACTCCACATGTAGGAAATCCTGATCAGGAAGTACCCGGTCCAATTTTGGAGGTGGCTGGTAACCATTCAATGCCTTACGCAAGGCCTTCTGCTGTTGAAAATCAATCCTCTGGCAGAGCAAGCTCTTCAAGACGGCTTTCTCAAGGTACGATTTGTAGAAGCATCTTCCCTGTATAGGCATTACATGCACGTGCTGATGTTTGTGTTTGTAATCCACAGATGAGTATGCAAGGTCACGTCCTGAAGACTCCATTCATGAGTCGGAGCCTCCAATGAGGAGAAGACAGTCTCGTGACAGTCGACATGCTGAGAACAGATCTGACTTTCGTGGTTTGGAACAGAGAAGTGGGCGTGGCAGAGCTTCAGGCATGAGAGACAGGGACTACAAAGATGAGGAGATGAATGGTCCAGGTGACCGGGGTGTTTATCAGGAGGATGAAGATGTCAAGCCACCCAGACCCAGGGCTGCTCCTGATGATGATGAGGCGGGCGAGCAGCCTGTTGCTGACGCAGCAGAGGCTAAAGCATCTGGCAAGGGTATTGTCATGAAGTTTCGTGAAAGTGACAAGCGGGGGAAACGTCAAACCGGGCAGGAAAAAGACGGAGAGAAACAGGCTAAGATGGCTGAGGACTCTGGAAAGGGCAAGCAGAGCAGGAATGCAGATAGCGACAAGCTTTTGAAGACGACTGAACGCCAGAAGGTCCAGGATGCCCCCTCCCAGCTGAAGTGGCTTAGGGAGGAAAAGGAGTTGCTTGCCCGCAAACCAGAGCTCACTGTAAGTGTCTGTCTACCTCTTTATGCTGGTTGAAATGATATTTCTTTGTCATCTCAGCCTTTTTTTCTATCGTGCAGGTTCCTGCTCAGTCAAGCATTGTTAAGATACCAATACTGGACAAGGCGAAGCAGGGGAAGGTTAAAGCAGAGGAGAAAGTGGAACAGCAGGATCAGCAGCTGCAGATTGAGCAGTCAGAGGAGGAGGATGCGTCTTTAGCTTCAAAGAAGGACCCTACTGCAGCACAGGGTGCTGCAAAACAGGAAACTGACAAGGCAAAGCAGGAACAGATACAGCAACGGCAGCAGGAGCTTATGGAGCACATTCAGAAGCAAATTCATCAGCGTCAGCAGGAGGAGCAGCTGCAGCACCAGTTGTTCCAGCAGCAGATGGCAGCAGAGGAGGCTGAGCGAAGGGCTATGTATGCGGCCCATTACCAGCAGCAGCAGCAGCTTGAGCAGCAATACTACCAGCAGCAGCCAGACCCGTACCTCATGCATGCCGAAGGGTATGCGCCTCCAGAGCATTACCAGATGCCCCCTGCAGAGTACCCCATGGAGGAGGATGAGGCCCCTCCAGGTGTGACGCCTCAAGCAGATGAGGCAACCGCCCACCCAGTGGCTCATGATGTCTTCGGTATGTGCTGCTCTCCTTTCCATCATGTCGCCATCGTTCAATTCTACAACCATTAATTGACCCTTTTTTATTCCCCTTTTCCCTTCTTTTCTTAATTATTGCTTCCAGCGGTCACTGCTCCTGTCGAGTAACTTGAGCTGTCCAGCAGTGTATGCTGAGTGTGTTCTCGGTTGGGTGTTCGCTGCTGGTTGGCCATTCAAGTTCAGATGCTCAACGCCCTTTCAACATCCAACTGTTCTGAAACATTCCCTGCATTGACTCTAGTATCACTTCTGCCCATACACCAGCTAACATGTGACCTGATTTACTCATGTTTAGGAGCCACGGAGCATGGATGCCTCCACTTAGCATCGATGTTGGGCAAATTTCTCTGGTGCACTTTGTAATGGCTCTTTATTGGTCCAACGTAATGAATCCAGACTGCAGCCTCCCATTTGTGCTTCTAAGCTCGTTCAGCAGCTTAGCACTGGAAGAACTAAGAGCACCCACGAAATAATCACATTCAGATGCAATGAGGAGCTGAGAGAGCATGCTTGCTGTCACACCCATGGCACCACCCAGGCTGCCTTCCAAGCCAGAAGGGGGTGATTGCCCATCATGCGCACCCATACTCCCTCCAGCACTATGGAACGTCCAGTCACGGTGCTCCGAAAGCTCGTTGCTCACTTCCTGCCATGGAAACACGTGAGATCGTAAGAGTACGCATGTCAGGAAGCATGAACAGTGGACAATGAGTGGACCAAGGTGGCATCACATGTCACATGGCATGCCACACACGCAGTGACAGGGTGGCAGGTAGGAGAGTGGGCACGTACTGGCTCAGTGGCTGTCAACCAGACGTGACGCAAGTGTGGCACGTGGCGCCTCAGACGATGGGCCAAGAACATGAATGCGGGGACGTCTGGTCGTTGGGGTGATGCTGCTGGCAGCGTGGTGTTGGGATCAGCACTGCCTGCGGCAGCCACCGCCTCCCCTGCTGCTCCTGCAGTTGCCTCACTGTTCCCCACACTCACATGCACACTCACTATCGGCCGCATGATGTACGCCTCCCTCCCCACTCCCTCGTACACCTCGTCTATAATCACACTCCCTCCCCACGTCCCTTCCTTCACCTTCACACATCCTTCAAACCCTAATGCCGGCCACAGCCGACCCTCCAGACTCGGCCCGGACCTGATGTCTACCGAGGCTAGGAATTTAGCTTCGGCAACCGTGTCAACGCCAATGCTCTTGTCAGCCTCAGATGGGCCAGCAGAGAGAGAGCGGATGATGGCAGCCTGCTGCTGGGCAGCTGAGTGCATCTGAGCAGCAATGTAACGGCCGTAGCTGATGTGGCGGATCAGGTTGGTGACGTGGCAGAGGTGGGCAGATGGCCAGCGGAAAAGGAATCGGACGGCCTGCGATCGCCACCAGTGCAACTGAAGGGAGGAGAAACGGGATGGGCGGGAAAAGGGATGTGGGAACCAGAAGACATTGGTTGAGAGCGATTAGAGAGCTGACAGCATGTAAGCCGATGATGCGTGCACTGACGGCCATGACCTACCTGCTCCCTCTGCACATCATGCGGCGGCACCACCCCCGCTACCTCCACCCACTGGGATGCCTCGCTCACAGCTGTGCCCCAATGCCTGGCGCCCCGGCAGCACAGGGAGGACGGGGGCAGAGGCAGGGCGAGAGGAAGGGAGCATTGGGGATGGGAGAGAAGGCGGGTGGGCACGTGGAATGAGGGTCGTGTGCAGCGCAGCAACGGGCTCAAGTGATCACAGCCAGCTCACATTGCAAGGGAGTGGTGCCACTTCAGTCAGACCAGTACATGCTTACATGGCGACGCGTGATTCGTTGGCCAGCAGAAGCAATTGGTGTCGGCTCAACGCCCCAGTGCAGACACGAACCACCGGATCTGCTGACGTCAGCAGGGCTTCCAGCTCATCCAAGCCCTGGGAGGCGCTCTGAGCGGCCTCTTGGGCGGCGGTGCATGCGAGGGCGGGCACAGGCGGGTGGGCGGCCATGGCGTCAGCTGCTGCCTGGTCGCAGAGAGGCCCAGTTAGGGGGGCGAAGAAACAGGCCAGCGACTGCGGTGCGGCTGTGGTGGGGAGGGGAGTCAGGACGGTGGGTGGTAGGGAAGGGGACGGGGTTGAGGGGGCTGCGTGCGGAGAGGATGGGATAAGTGCAAGAACAAGAGCTCGTTTCAAGGCATGGCATGGCATGGCGTGGCGTGGCGTGGCGTGGCATGGAAGTGGTGTGGCGCACCGGAGCAAGCGGAGTGGTTGGCATGGGGGAAGGAGCCCGGCGTGACGACGAGCGTGCGGTTGAAGAGCACTGCCAGCCCCAGCAGCCCCCCCACCACATGCACCTCCCCCGCCACCCCCTCCATGGCCCCCATGCCGCCTCCCCCCTCCGCCTCCCCTGCCCCGCTTGCTGCCTCGTCAGCATTCAGATGAGGCCAGTCAGCAAGCAGCAAGCGGGGTTGGTCGCATGAAGGGGGGAACTGGTGCTGCCAGATGTGTGTTTGAGCGACACGTGTCAGCGGGAGATTGGACGCGTCGTCACCTCGTACCTTCACAGCCCACAGCACACAGCACGCAGCACACGGAACATGGCACACGGCACATGGTGCACATAGGAAATTGGAAGAAAGGATTCATACGAGACACGGCACAAGGCAAGTAGGGGGACGGGCTGTGGCGAGGCAAAGAGATGGAGAGGCCGGGGAGTGGCTGGGCAGGCATGGATCGGATACCATGCCTTCACACATCACACCTCGCTCCACCCCATTGCACCGCACCAGCACTCACACCCGCACCTACCCAGGGCGGCTGGGGGGAGCAACCGCAGCACTGGGAGGGCGCGGTCCAGGTGGGCGTCTCTCCCCCTTCCCCCCGCGCCTCTGCGCGCGCCCTCGCCGCCGTGCGCGCCGTGCACTCCTCCAGGTGCGGCGCGGGCGGCACGCCGGGCGGCAGGGCAACGGAGAGGGGCGGCAGGAAGGAGCCCGGCGTCAACTCGTACGCCGCCTGCCACGCCTGCTCGCGGGGAGGACGGTAGGAGAGGGGAAGATGGCGGGGCGGGGAGTGGGAAAAACGGGGAAAGGTGGGGCGAAAAGGGCAGTGGAGGAAGAAAATGAGGAGGGGAGAGGCAGAGACAGGGGGAAGAAGAGGAGGAGATGGCGGCGACGCGACGGTATGGGCGCGGGCGCGGCGTGCAGGGCGAGAGCGATGCGCGATGGCGCACGCTGATGCTGGACAAGGCGGTTCCACGTCACGCTTACCCAATGGAAGAACCAGAGCAGCGCTTGACTTGAGCCTCACCTCGTGCCACGCCAGGCCTTGCTCCCCATGTCCCGCGCCGGTTTCACCGCCACTAGATGCGCCTGCTTGCGCAGCAGCGGAGGAGAAGCAGAGGTAGCAGCAGGCGGCAATGACGGCAGCGCAGTGGAGGGGGGGAGGACCCATCGCGTGGAGGCGCGGAGTGACCCTCCGCGAGGGACGCGGCGGGCGAGTGTTGCGGAATACAGCGTGCGAAGCGGAGAGAAGCTAAGGACGCAAGGCCTTTGGGCTGGTCGGCGCAATAGATGGGTCGCATTTATTTGTGTGAGGGCGGCATTCGTACAGAACGTGAAGGGAGACGGCATGGAGGGAAGTGAAGGTTGATCTCTGTACTCGATAACCGATGCTTCAATTTGCACTAAAAACTCCTTTCCTTTTGATCCCATTGTTCCGTATGGAATCCCAACGAGGTGTAGTGACAGTACTGCCCGTGTGGTGATCAAAACATCAACAGAAAGTCGCGTCGCCGGTGAGCTGTCCCCTTTTCTCGATGCTGATTCGTTACGAATCACCGCTGTCTCCACTGTCGGGTCGTTGTTTGCTGCGCTGTGCTCATCGCATCCAATCCAAGCAGCAGTCTGCACCCTTTTCAAATCGCGAAAGTGGTTCGCTAGCCTTCATCAATCGCTACTTTGGTAACAATAAACAGCCCATCTCGTCTCAGCCAATTGCAACGCGCTCTTTGCAACCTCATTCTTGCCACACTTCCGTTACCCTCTCACTCCCTCCCTCGTGCCCGCTACGCGCTGCAAGTTCGACCGCAATGTGGTGGACGCGTTTATGACGTGGCAAAAAGTGCATTGAATGGCACCGTGCGTACCGGTACAGTACAGTACCGCAAAGATTCAATGGGCCCCCATTTCCCCTTCCACAGCTCCAACCCAATCCCCTTTTCCCTCTGCAGCCGAGCCCTTCCTGCTCCCTCCCAACACCCACGCCCCCCACGCACCAGGGCTGTTGCTACCAGGGCGTTTGCCCTGCTGGACCTTGAATTCCAGGGCTGGGTGGCCCTTAAAAACTGAAGTTGATGGGTTGAAATCCCTGATTGCTTACAGGGCTGATTTTTGTCTTAGTCTAGGTGTATTAAGTGTAGAATTTAGGCGAGCCCTGGAACAAATCGAGCTCCCACCCCTCCCCCCTCCCAACTCCTCCACTTCCCCTTCTCCCCCGTCTCAATCCCGGTTGCATCCAACCTGGCAAATTAGGAGTAGCATGGTTGGGCAAAAATTCAACTACCCCTGTTGTAGTACATGCCGGGGCCCCTGATTTGTCCGGGGGCCCCAAAACCAAACGACAGGCCTGCCCCCCACCAAACCCGCCTTCCCTCCCATCCATCCCAAACCAACCTCGGCTCGCGTCCCATCGCATCTTCATGACTCTCGTCATACCCATAGTTTCTTCTACTACACTACAGTACCTCCGTTTGCTCCACAGTGATGCACAAGTGACGTTCATTTGGAAGCTCATCGTTCAGCTGACGAGCACCACCAGCGGGCACGCCCAGAACACGGGTGCGCTGGCTTGCAGTTCCTGCACCAGCAGTCTCCGAATGCACGCGAGCGTGAAGCTGCGGTCGAGTCATGAGTCTCAGCGTCAGCCCCTCGTCGCTGCCTGTCGACGGCTTCTCCGACCCTTACGACTCCGCGTACCGCTTCCGCCCGCCTAACTCTACCACCGGACTGCACCGCTCTCACGTTAGTGAGCATCAAGCGATTTTGCCAGGAAGCCGAGGCGCATTCAATGGCGCCCCAGATATGGCGCCGCCACCACACATCCGGCCACCGCCGTCCGTTTTCGGGGAAAGTTTCTCGTCCGAGCAGGGGTTTCCGGGTCCTCCTTTCGGCGCGGACACGATGACGCCTACCATTGGCGGGTGGGGGTCGGCGAGGGCGGCGGTGGTCATCCGCAGCGGCGACGACGAGGACCAGTCGCGCCACGTCCCCATTGCCTACCGCCCTCCGCCCCATCCGCCCCGCCCGTGCGGCTCGCAAGCTCCGCCCGCCCCCGCGCTGCACCTGGCGGAGGGCGTGACGATAAGGAAGGGCAACGACGACGACTTCGACGCGTCGCAGGCCTTTCCGCTCTCCGCCAGTAGCTTCCGTGGCAGCGCCCCGCAGGTGGGTGAGCTCTGGCCGTCGTGGTCGTGCGTTCTCCTCGCCCGCACGCCGCTCTTCTCTCCCAGCATCGTTCCGGCAGCCTCCTTGTTCCTCACTCGCCACTCAGCCACCAGCGATGCTCTTCACCACAGCTTCCGACTCCCTCCCCTCTTTCCTTTCCCCCACCCCCCTCCCCTCCCCTTTCCGCAGGCATCTCCGCACTTCCGCCGCTTCGACCCCGCGTTCCCTGCCGCCGAGCATGCCCCGACAGCCGCAGCCGCGCCGTCTTTCGACGGTTACGGTGGCCACGGCGACTTTGGGGCGTATAGTTCCAGCCCGCAGCGCTACGACGGCGCGGGTCGCATCTCCCCTCCGCAATATGGAGGCATTGTCGCAGGCCGCACGGGCGGGTCCCCGCAGATGTGCGGAGGGGGCAGCGGGGGAGAATGGGCGGCGCATCAGCTCGGCAGCGGGGTCGACCCGGGCAGGGGCAGGCGGAGCTTGGACGGGGGTACTGTGCGTATGGGCATGGGGACGATGGCCGCGCGGGACGCGAATGTGGCGGGCGAGCTCCGCAAAATGGCGGGCGTGGGCGGCATGCGGCCAGGGCAAGGCGTTTTCGCGTCGCGGTCGTATGACGAGCAGGGGAACCCCGAAATGTACGGGAGGACGCCCGCAGCAATGCGCGGAACGGCGTGCGCTGATGGCGCAGGTAGCGAGGGAAGCTGGCGGAACGGGGGCGACTACTACTCGGGCGAGCGGGATACGGAAGGACGAAGCGGCGGCGGGAGCCAGCAGAGCGCGCTGTCGCTGAAAGAGGAGCTCGCGGCGCTCGACTGGGGCAACGGTGGCTCGGGCGACGAAGCGCCTCTGCGGAGCTCCCAGCGACCCAACTCCGACGAAAGCTGGGTGCGCGTGGGAGTGGGGCGGCGGGAAGAAGGTTTTGGAAACAACGGGAGGGGGGTGGGGTCGGCGCCGTTGGTTGGGGAAGCGTATTCGAGGGGTCATGCATTGGGAAAATGTGGGCAAACAAAGGATGAGGCGCGTTGCTGGATGCAGCAACTCCGATGTTGCCGCGCATTGCTACACCACTCAACTCGGATCGCGCCATGCTGCACACAGATTACTGTATTATGCACAATCCAGGCACGAACTACACACTATTGCGCTAAGGGTACTACAGCACAGTTAGACGATTTCGTAACAAGGCAAAGTGTACAGTGCTAGGCACATGTTTCACGATAATGAAGAATTACCGTTCAACTACTCAGCACAGTCTACTTGATTGCTGCAACCACTCACAGAACGCCCTGTTTCATTGCACATTACGACTCGTTATACTAGTGCAGTGCGGCATGGCCTGACTGACTCTCACCTCTTTTCCGCCTGCGAACCCCCCACTTCCCCTCGCCCTTTCCCGCCTTCCATCCACGCACCTGTTCAGAACCTACCCTTCAACCCTTCGTGCGAATTCTCGCAAAGCAACCAGTTTCATCACCAACTTAAATACTCCGTCAACGACCCTGCAGATTCCGGTGCTTACCTAAGTGCCGACTTCTCCATCTACTCCTCCACCTCGCTCTCCCTCCCATTCCGCTCTCGCTACCCAGCGTCTGGCTTTCCTCCTGGCAGCAGCGGGGTGTGGGGGGGATCCGTGGTGGCAGAGAGTGATGCGGGGAGTGTGATGGGCGGAGGGGGAGCGGGAGCAGGCGGCGATTGTCGTCTTTTTACGCAAGAGCAGCTGGCGAGGGCAACGGACAACTGGAGCCCGGCCAATCAACTCGGGAAGGGCGCCTTCGGCACGGTGAGCTTGTTTGAAGGAGGGAGAAAAGAGGGGGGATGGTGGGGGAGAGTGTGGAGGGGGGAAGGTTTGAGATTCAAATGGCAGTGTTTTGAAATATTTTGTATGTCGAGGATGACCAAAGAGATCCAGTGGTAACATGAGAAAGTTGTGTGTGATGTGAAGCGGATGAGTAACATGCCTCTTCGCCTTCCCCCCATCTCGGTCCTCTCCCCCCTGCCAGGTGTACCGCGGCCGCGTGATGGGGTGTGACGTGGCAGTGAAGCGGCTGGAGGGCACGAGCTGGCAGGGCCCCGATGAGTACATGACGGAGGTGGAGGTGCTGAGCCGCATGCGCCACCCGCACATCGTGCTGCTCATGGGCCACTGCCCCGACGCCATGTGTCTCGTCTACGAGTACCTGCCAGGTGGCTCCCTGCAGGACCACCTCAAGCCCACAGCCGGGCAGCGGCCTTTGTCTGTAGTGGAGCGGGTGCGGGTGGCGTCGGAGGTGGCGTCGGCGCTGCTGTTCCTGCACCACCACGACCCGCCCATCGCCCACCGCGACCTCAAGCCCGACAACGTGCTGCTGGACTGCAACCGTAGGTGCAAGCTGGCGGATGTGGGCCTGGCGCGGCTGATCGCGGAGGACGACTCCACCACCACGCGCGTGCGCGGCACCGTGGGGTACATCGACCCCGAGGAGGTGCTCACGTTTGAGATCAGCGTGCTGTCGGACGTGTACGCGCTGGGGCTCATCATGCTGCAGCTGCTCACGGGGGAGGCGGGCATCAAGAGCCTGCACAAGCGCATCAAGCCCTTTCAGGACGCCCTCGACCGATACTGGGAGCGGGGAGGCGCTGTCGGCAGCAGCAGCAGCGGCGGCAGCCCCATGGTGCAGGCGGTGGCATCGCTGGTGTCAGAGCATCTGGACGTCTCGGGCGGCGAGTGGCCGCTGTCTGTTGCTTGCCAGCTGGCAGAGTGGGGCCTGCGGTGTGCCGCCCGGCAGCGTGCCTGCCGCCCGGATCTGGCGGGCGAGCTGCAGCCGGCGCTGCATGGGCTGGTGGAGCAGATGGAGGCGGGGGAGAGGCAGCGGCAGCAGAGCATTGAGGACCAGTTTGTGTGCCCGCTCTCACATGTACGTGCCTTGCCACCTGTGTGTGTCCGTGCTTTGCATATCTCTCTTCCCCCCTTGTTCGCTTTCTGGTTGTCTCCTTTGACCTTCCTCCCATTTTCCAAGATCCCCCACACACTTTCCCTCGCACACTTTCCCTATCCCCCCTGTTTCATTTCCCCCCTCGTTCAGATGCGTATGACCGATCCAGTGGTGGCAGCAGATGGCTTCACATACGAGCGTAGCAGCATAGAGGAGTGGCTCAAGACTCATGACACATCGCCATCCACTAATGAACCATTGCCGCATAAATATCTCACACCCAATCATTCACTGCGCATGCTGTTGCAGTAAGATGACACGAGCATGATGGAAGTGGGTACAAGAAAGGGCTTTGTATGTCTTGGTTTGTTGGTTGCTCGCATTGTGGCTTGTTTGGTACCGTCTTTTCCCGGATATAAGACCGGGGGACTTTATAAAAAATCAGTATAAAATGGTAGGGTGAACATCATGGAGGCTGGAAATTGATAAGACCCCCGGACATCTAATTTACTCATAAGAAACCGATTTTCGCTATACAGTAGCTTTTTTCCAACCAGGATCGAACCTAATTAAAAAGAAATCGCGAAAGTACCCAGTCAAACCTTCGATCTGACACGGTCAACGCGTCAGATTTCGAGTCTGACGCATTGATCACGTCAGAATTTCCCTTTATCCACCTAAAAAATGATTCGTGAATGTTGAGAAGCACTGGAAATTGCACAGTCTACACCAACGAGGGGGGTCTTTAAATGTTTAATAGCAAAAGGGGGGTCCTCACAGATTAGACCATATTAAGCGTACACCCCCCCGCATATAAGTCCCATGGGACTTTTATTTCGGAGGGTCTTATATCCGGGAAAAGACGGTATAATTGCCTCATTTCATTATATTCGTGTGTTGCCTTGATGTAACGCGTTGTTTATCTGTATATGTTCGTTATCACGACCAACATCGAATCATGAACATGGACCCTCATCTTTTGCATTTATGGATTCCACGTCGAATCTCATTCACAGCTCGCACGTGCGATCCTAACAGCGAGGGCAGTTCAAGGGCTTGCTCGACTCGCGGCAGTCCCAAGAGCGCGACGACGACATCCAAACCGAACCAATCAAAGGCCAGTCGTCGGTGGAAAACGAAACAGCCCACATTCGTTCGACTGCAACGCTGTCCATCCAGCGCCCGTCCTTTTCACCACGCCGAACCTCACCAAGCCGCGCGACGTCTTTCTGTAACCCTTTCAAACTGACTCTATCGCTCTTGCCGCGGAAGAACGCTCCACATACATTCATTTATCCCCTCCACATACTGGCTGTTCCCTCCACCATTGCATTTCTTCTCCTCGCTTTCCTGTTGAGCCGTAAAGGCTTGCAGCACTGCATGAGCGCAACCGTAGTTTCCAGAACTTACAGCAGTACACCTGTTCTCCGGTATTTCCACACCCCCTACCCTCGTTTTTGCCAGACACCCTATACGGCTTGAGGATCGATGAGACGGACACCCTGACACTACGGGTCTATCAGTAAAGAGCCGTCAGGTTCTGGCCATTCGAAACTCTAATTTGTAATCAGGGTGAGCGGGGAAAATTCCCAGTGCCATAATGTTAGAGTGTTAAACTCGCATTGAGGTCGTGTCTTATTACCTTCGAAACTCCCGCGTTCGTTTCTAACTACCTTTGAAATCAGATTTTTACGAGGGTAGGTACCCCAGGGCGTGAAGATAGGGGGTGTGGAAATACCGGAGAACAGGTGTAGTTATCGAACTCTACTTACATCAGTGCAAGCGTCGTTTCCAAAGTTCTACTCCTAACGCTTTTACTTCCTTGTCGCAGCCATGCCCTCATCGCGTCTACTCGCGCCCCGCGCGCCCTCCGCCCTCGCCGACCTCACCGCAGTGATGCGGATTCACGACGCACCTGCCGCACCTGCAGCCTTCTATTTATCTCCTTGCAGCGCTGCGCTTTTTCCGCACGGCTTTGGGGGCGGAATTGGCAAGCGCGGTGTCAGCAGCTCTTCGCGGTGCGGCTGCCACCAGCAACGGAGCTGCCGCGCTAGGCGACACGCTCGACTGCTCGCAGCGCGTACACGTAAAGCAGTCATCTTCCGAGCCGCAATTCGCTCTGCGTCTCCGCCTCCCTCTAGTCCTTCCGCTTCCGCGGGCCGCGTTCACGCCGCCATTGCTGCAGGCGCCGCTGCGACCGTGGAGGCGCAATCTACGGCCAGCGCGGCTCTGCCGAGCGTTGCGATTCCCACAATGCTTCCACGTGGCATCGAGCAAGACAAGGGAGAGGGCCACTTAGCAATAGATCTCGACACTTCGGCGGGCGGCTCGATGCAGAGTGCATCGGGTCGCGTAGAAAGTGCGTCGAAAAGTGAGGAAGAAGCTGAGTCGCGGGAGCTGGTCGCCTCAGCGACGATGGCGACGACGACGACGGCGACGACGACAATGACGACGACGGTGCGGAGGAAGAGAACAACGGGGCCCGTGATTCTGCATGCTGCTGACGGTGAGGGGTGCGGGAATGGGTGAGAGAGGCGCGGGGATGGCGGTGAAGGGAATCGGGAGAGAAATGGCACCAATGCCGTGTAGTTTCTTGCGTGCACGGTCGCTATCAGTCAGTAAGACAAGGGAATCCTATCGCTGTCTTCATTGCCGTGCGCGCTTCATGCCGCAACCTTTCGCCCCTGTCCGCCTCGTGCCCCCCCGCTTCCCTACCCAAAACTTCCCTCTCCCCCTCCCCGTCCCACGCGCGCTCCTCGCCCCCTTCTTTCCCCCGCCAGTGCAGCGCGACGGCAGCGTCATCCTGCGCTTCGCCCCCTTACCCGACCCCCTCGCGCCCACAGCGCGCGCTCTCGGCCCTGCCGCCGCAGCAGCACACGCTGAGCGGAACAGCAGCGGGGCGCTCAGGGAGGGTGGGGGTGCGCCGCCAGAGGAAGGCGCGGCGGAGGTGCGGGCGGACGCGGGGGTGGTGGCGTTCGTGACGGCGTGCACGAGCGAGTTCAGCCGCGAGGTGCCCGACGAACTCATAGAGGAGATCGTGGGGCTGCCGCTCCGCCTCACCCCGTGAGTGCTGCCCCTCCGCCTCACCCCGTGAGTGCTGCCCCTCCGCCTCACCCCGTGAGTGCTGCCCCTCCACCAGCCCCACATACCTGACTGCTCCACCAGCCCCACATACCTGACTGCTCCACCAGCCCCACATACCTGACTGCTCCACCAGCCCCACATACCTGACTGCCGGCATACGTCTGCCCTGCTGCTGCAGCACCTGGCCACTCGTTGCTCAGTTGAACCTCCTTAGGCATCCTCTCACTCCCCCCAGTTTATTTCTGTACACTCGTGCTAATGCTGCCTCACAACTGACCTTTCCCTCATTCCCCTGTTTTTTCATCCTCCAATCAGGGTGGACCACGTGGCAAAGTGGGTGGCCATCTCAGCACACCACACCGTCGCCGCAATCAACCACGCCATCGACCTGCCTGCCTCTGCCCTCCATCACCACCGCTCCCTGCCCTCCCTGCCGCGTGTTCTTGGCCTGGGCAAGCCCATCCTGCCTCCCACCCCTTCTCCACTATCCCAGGACGGTCAAACCCCACCCCCACCGGCTGTACCAGTGTCTGCAGCAACAGCCCTGCCAGCCCACCGCGCTCCCCCCTCGCCATCCTCCCCGCCACCTCCCTCCTCAGCTGCCTCTATTGCCGTCACCGCCATTATCGGTGTTGTGCTGGCAGGCCTGGTTCAGTTCCTAGCCTCGCTTGCAGGTTTGGTGGGACGCATGCCGGGCGGCAGCAGCGGGGCGGGTCAGAGCAGGCTGCTGTGGAACCTTCCAGCAGCGACGGTGCTGCTGTTGGTGGCGGCAGTAAAGGTGTGGGCAGCATGGTGGCAGCACCACCACAGGCACCATGTGGCTGCAGCTGTTTAGTCGAAGGGTTCGTAGTTTGGATCGTGAGCGCGTGTAAAAAGCTCAGGTAAAAAGGACAAGTGGGTACAAGTGTGTAGATAAAACGATTCAGTAACAAACAGAGGTAAGAGGGAGAGGAGAAAATGGGACGGGGGGGAGGAATGGGGTGGGGGGAAAGGTAGGGGGTGGGGAGGGAGAGGAGCAATGGTGGGTGGAAGAGAGGAGGGGGGCAAGGGAGAAGAGGGGGAGGGAGAGGGGGGCAAGGGAGGGCTGGGGAGGAAGGGAGAGGCGCCAAGTGAGGGAGGTGAGTTGATAGTTGCAAGCCAGCATTTTGCATTGTTATCCTGTGTGCTTCAAGTGTGTTTGTGTGTGGATTTGTGTGTTATTTGTAAATATTCCACTTTATAAGCGAATTTCCCACAGAGTTGCTCCTGGTCCCTTCACTTCTCATGAACTGCGGACAGTTGCGTCTATCGGAGCTGTCAATTTAAAACAACCACCAAAGCGATCTTTGACGGCAGTTGAAGGTGATGAACGCAGGAGTGCCCCCTTTTCTTGGTCAGCTCCGCAATTGTACACGCCATCGCTGGGTGAACAAGGCGATTGTACCCATGGCGTGGCACATGGACCAGCTTTCGTGAACGTTGACAGGCTGGTTCGGCATGGGAGGTATACCCGAGCCCACAACCTTTCAGGGGGCAACGCAACCAACCTTTGCTCCTCTACAGAGTTTGACAGCTTTTGGACGGTCTGATGTGGGGCGACTACCTTCGGCGGTTTAGGATTGAACAAAACACGATAGTTGTCGTTTAGCGAACTGCCAGCTGGACCTGGCTGGAGGAGCCACACCTCGCACACGCTCTGACCATCCGTTGTCAGAACATCTGTTCGTTTCCAACTGACATTACCTGCCCGGGCAACGGGCCTGCCAGCGGGGGCTGCGTTGTTTTTCCGTTCCCGGAGCTCCCGATGGCTCTGCTGGTTGATTTGTTTTCCATTTTTTTTAGGATGCCAAGCATCATCGTTAATTGATTATTAAGTGAACAGCTGCTTAGGTGGTTCCTTCCCGCGCCTCAAACACCACAACAAACAATCGAGAATGGAAACGCAGTATCGCCGGTCATCCTGTAAATTTTCCACCAACCAGAACCAGGGATTCGGTTCGGTTGGTTGGGGTGCGGGTCAGACCAGACAGAACAGCCGAGGGGTGCGTTTGTGAGGGAACGATCAGGCAGCAAGTTCTAGGTCGGGGCCGTACATAGGTATCCACTCCGCTCCGCTCATTCCGTCACTTCTCCTGTAACATGACCCCGCCTTCAAGTCTCTCTACGCCTGCAGTTGTTCCCGGTTACAGTAGTTTGACGAGGCCTCTCGCTCCGTTGCGGCTGGACCTCGCGGGTCAACTTTAGACTCC